CGTTCACCGGTGGCATGCTGATGGGAAATAAAAGTTCGAAACCGGCCTGTGTCGCGTGATTCTGTTGACTAATGATCTTAACTGTGTACTAGATTTGGAAATTTAATTCTGGATGTAGTATACAGGGTGATTCAAAAAACCGCTGACAGACTTCTAGGGTAGATAATACATAAAAAATTAAGACGAAAAGTTTTCATAAACACAGGGTCGCAAATGCCTCCTTAACGAGATCTTCAATTTTTAGGTGATTTTCAAAGGACTAACTAGCGAAAAATGGTCGTAGAGAAAAAAAAATTTAAAGTCTCTAGTTTTAGGATTTGAAAGTAAAACAAATTTATGGTTTAAGAAATTATAAGAAATCCATCGGATAAAAAAATTTCAGAAATTTTGCTTCACTTTCAAAAGGTTTACGGGCTTCAATATTTTTTTTGTCAACCCCACTTGTCAACTCTTTTAGTTTCCTTCGTCCTCTTTAATTTGAGCTGTTAACGATGAATTACTTCTACAGAAAATCTAAGCAGGTTTTTAAAAACTTCAAAGTATTTCCTATAAGACGTTATTATTGTTGATAAAAGAAATTGTTTTACGCAAGAAACTTAATTCAAAAAATTTAAAAAATTGCATATTTAAGAACTTTATAAATAATGAATATCTTAAGGATATTTCGTTTTTTTACCTGAAAGTATCTCAAAGAAATCTTCAAGAGTTCAATCCGCTGCGATTTTTCTTTCATTCTGATCCGAATGATTGAAATTGTCATTTTTGCTAAAAATCAATTGAAGGATACATTTTGTATCCTTTATTCATGTTTTTATTCATTTAATTCATTTCATGTTAAATCGAAAATGAAGACATTGCAGCAAAAACGAGCTAGCTGCACTTTTTGGCCAAATCTCTCTCTACCTTAGCTGTTTTCGGTCATACACAATTTTTTGTATCTACCTTCATTTACTAAGAAATATTTGGTGCAATAACAAGGCAACTGTGCAGATATACACAGGTTGATTATTTAGCCTTTCATCAAAACCTGAAGACAGATCCAGATGAAGGTGAGGCTGATGTTACAGACGATGAAGATGACGATTAAAGAAAAATATATTTATCAACATGTACCTACTTATATTATTTTCTAAAATAAAGTTTGGTTTTCTTTAAACAAAATATTTACTGGTTTTATTTAGTATAAAACTGAGGTAGCTTTCAAAATATATAAAATATATAATAGAAACAGTCATGTTAGTCATGTTACATGTAGTTATGTACAGTGGACATCAAAGTTTGCATTTAGTTAAGTAAACTTTATTATTAATCATTAATAAAACAAAAAATTCATGGTTTTGGCGGCAAAAACAAGGTAGTTGCAAAACTTTTAAGTTTTTCAAAAAACTGCAGTCTTTAAAATATTGTTTTTTCAATCAGTGTACTTCTACCTAACATGTTAACCACTTTGACAGTAAAAACCAAAGAACAAAAATCAATTTGAATTTTAAAACACGTTTTTCTCCCTCCTAAAAAATTTCTAATAGTGCAACTATAGTTTGTTTAGAAATGAAAGAGAGTAATAAAAGCTTATTATGTATGCAAATCGTAAATAAATGTAGTACTGGTGCTTATATTCAATATTTTTATATTATGTATTTTCCGTACAGATGAGGTGAACTTTTAAAAAAACTTTGTGTGATCGGACTGTACTAAATTGTAGCAGGTAGCTAAAATTTAATCCCCGACAATCCGTCTTTGTCTATGCCGCTTCAATTTCTCGGTCCATTTCTCTTATAAGTAAACAATATAAAAACAGCATTTCAAAACATGAGGCTACTTTAAGCATCATAACCGGGTTAAGAGGGTTTTTAGTAATTCAAATAAAATTATTCAATATTATTATCAAAATATTTATTTAAATTTAATGAATAGACTTTTATTCCACACAAAAATATATGTATTTTGAAAATTCAAATTATGGTGAGTAAATGTAGTGTTGTATAAATGTACAATAAAGAAAATAAAAAAGTAGGTATATTAAAATTCATCCTCTGAATATTCTGATGAATTATCTTCGTCTCCTAGATTGATAACGATAGGTTCCACAGTAACGTCAATTAAATTATCGAGTTCCCACATTTTCTCCTCTTCTTTTTGTACATGATGTATACATCTTTGCCAGTTATCTGCAGTTACTCGTTCCAAGGAATTTTTTAACAAAATTTTCACGTCACTTAATTTAAACGTCGTATTATTTCGCGCTACATCTCCTTTTACCTGCGCCCAGACTAATTCGATTGGGTTAAGTTCACAGTGATAAGGTGGTAACCGTAGTACCGTTATTTGGCGATTTGTTGCCATTTCATCGATAACATATTTTTTCTGATCTTTATTAAGATTGACAAGTGTCAAAAGTTCCTTTTTCACCATATTTGTTTCAAAAGAAATGTTTTTTCCGGATAACCATTGAATTATATCGGCTTTCCTCCAAGCAGTCGTAGGCGTCCGCTCGGTCTGCCGTGAATGGTAACTGGCATTATCCATGACAATTACAGACCCCGGAGGAATAAGATCCAACATCTGTGTAAAATACTCTTCGAAAACATCTGCGTTCATGTCTTCGTGATAGTCACCTGTATTTTTAGATTCAAATAAAAGTAAACCGCCATCTACAAAACCACTGGCACTACCTATATGTGTCACTATTAATCTTCGCCCTTTACCTGAAGGTGCCTTGAACCCTGTTGAAAGTCCATCCAAAAATGCTTGTAGAAAACTTTTTATATTTTTATCTTGCCATACTTTTGTTACAGTATATCCCTTGTTGACCCAAGTTTCGTCTAGATCAAGGGTCGGCAACTGGCGGACCGCGGTCCAGATCCGGACCGCGGAAGATAACATACTGGACCGCCAAAAATTTTTTGAATGTATAAATTACTCAAATAAATTATTTAAAACATGTTTTTTACGTTTAAGTGCCAATCTTATCATTTTTTCTAGTATTTTACAATTGTGTGAGTGTGTCAGTTATTAATGGTTAGTAAGCAGATTAAATTTGAATCCAAATTAAAATAAAAAAATAATAAATATGAATTTTTTTTCTGGACCTCGTTAAAAATTTTCAAGAGTTTCCGGACCCCACCTAAAATTACTTGCCGACCCCTGGTCTAGATAATAAATATTCCTCCCTTCGTCACGGAATTTTCTAATTGATCTTAAGTAGGATCTTCGCCAACAAATAATTTCATCTTTATCGATAAGAACTGACTTCCTGTTCTGCTTTTCCCAGCAAAAATTCAACTCTCGTAAGACGGCCCATAATTTGCTTCTACTGATTTTTGGCAAATCGTTGTCCTCTGAAAGTTCACTTAAAATTTTGTTTAGCGTTGGTATTTCTTTTTTAAAATAAAATGAGTGTACTTTTCTGCGAATGACATTTTTGAAGAAATCATCTATAACGACTTTTGACCTCCCTGTAGATGATTTTGGGGGATTTACAGTATCTTGTTCATTTTTTGTTTCATGTAAAAGTCTGTAGATAGTCAATTTTCCATTCCCTGTCATTTTTGTTAGCATTAGTGTTACCCGATAATTACCTGAAACGAAATATTACCACGCCCTTGGCCGGTTCTTATCTCGGGGTTTTATTACTCTCTTTCATTTCCAAACAGACTATACCTCGTTTTTGCTGCAATGTTTTTTTCGCAAAAATCTATACCTTTTTTTCATAAACGTATTGAAAAAAATTAAAATCTTCAAGCTTCAATTTGCTCTTTTTATTATTCTACGACCATTCTTAACCACGTTACAGCATTTTGAAAATCACCTAAAAATTTTGGATTTTTTTTATCCTTTATTTTGTCACTTGTTCAGTTTGAATACAGTTTTAGAAAATTGCCTACTCAATGTAATTTCTGACGATGAGGTTAATTATATAATATTTTAGTTTTTAGATGAGGGTATCTAGGCCACAGATCAGTTAGTTACTTTCAGACGTTGAGCAACTGGGTCGTTAGTCTGATTAATGTCATAAAATTCTACGAAAATTATGCAGAGGTAAACGTAAGAGCTGGTAATTGTGATATTTAAGTTTTACCTAGACCTATGTCGTATGTGTCACATTTTATGTATCAGTTACGCCTAATTTGCATATAAATGTCGAGATATTTATCCTCCATTAAAATTAAATGAGTACTAAAGAAGTACTCGTTTAAAAGTCGAAAAATTATGAAACTGTATTTTAAATAATATTAGTAAAAATGAGCAAGTCAACACTGTAAAGTGAGATTCAAAGATTATACAGGGTGCTTTGAAATTATTTGAATTAAAGAACTGATAGAACATCAGAAAAATAGAAATATTACTTTCTTGGGGCTATGGGCCTATATTCATATGTTTGAGAAACAGGAAGTCAAAATTAATTTATTAAAATCAAATTGTAGCCGTCTTTTCTAAAAAACACGGTGATCCATGGAAATTTGATATAGGCAAGCTTTTGGAGGCGTTAAAGTTAGTTTCTGGCCATCTACTAGATGTCATCATTTTCTAAGATTAGATTTTTAATAAGTACTTATGTCATTATAATGAAAAATGTCATTTTATTTAAAAAATCGAAATTACTGAAAACTCACCGATTTCTGAAAAAAAATCAATTGACTGTTCCAAAGCTTGTATTCTTTAACGTACATAGTAATATTTTCTAACCTTAGAAATTCTTAAAACTGACTCTAAATAGTCCATCGCAGTATTATTTCAAACTGTAGGTATGTGGTACCTAATTTTGAAAATTTAACAAAGGTTAAATAAACACAAAAATAAATATGATACCTTCCCCAATAATTAAGGTATCTAGGATGTTTAAAAGGAAAATAATGCTCCAAGGTCGACAATGTACTTCCCTAAGGCCTCTGACGTGTTGACCCAGGGCACTATTATCCTGTAACTCCCGTGCTGTCTTCAATGTCGTTTTACTTCTCACTCAGATTTCGACAAATATGTAAATTCTGTACCGTTTTTAGATTGATATTTGGTCTAGTCACATTGGTAGCCTTCTGCTCAGCCCGACCAGCAGACGAGGAATACGCCGAATACGAGGATGAACCCGAGGCTGCGGCGCCGCCGCCAAAGAAAGCAGCTGCTGCGAGACCGATCATCGGAAGGCGCAATCCTTTAGCAGGGAGGAGCAACAACAAAGCCGCCGCCACCACCTCAACGACAGCTGCACCAAAGGTAAGAATAAACTATAATGAAAAGTAAAATAGTACAATGATAATATACTTACCCTTCCCCACATTATCCTGGAATGTTCTCAACGAAATGCACAATAATCTCTTTGAAAATTACTTTCTTTTCTTTTATACCTACTCGTTTGACATCTTTAAAGACACACTCTGATTAAATACAGGATAACGCTTATTAAAAAAAAGGTTCAAAGTGATAAAGGTGTTCTGTATTCAGATTTTTGAAAGAGTTTTCTGAATAGAACGAAAAAAGTGACTTGTTTAATTTTTAAGTACCGCATTGTGTTCAAGAAAATTTGCAATATAAGTTTTCATATCAAATCAAACGACGCAACTATAGACAAAGAAATTCTAACCTAAAATGTTTCAAGTATGAAGTTAGTTAAACTTTTTGTAGACAATTTTTTATTATTCACAGCTATACTTCAAAAATCAAAAGTGACGGATTGCGTTTAAGTTTTGTATTAGGTCAATTCAAATAACGATAAAAGTTGATAAAAACGTTGTTACTAAAATCCATTTTCTTTGAGATATGAATTTGTATTTTTTGGGCTTATTTTTAATTAAATGCGAGTTTCTTATTTTGATTAACGTACGCCTCTTTATAGTGCATGAAAACATAATCATTCCCAATTTTGTCTGAAACGATACTTTGGCATTTTGGCACTCATGTACAGGGGGATGCATAATTCTCTTTTTATTGCAATATGTTTCTTTGATTTAAAATTTTTGAATCGGACAAAATGAAGATATACCTAAAAAGCTCTGCGGAATCAGAATATGCAATTAGAGATACAAATTTAAATAGATATGTGTCAAAACATGATTTTTTTTGAGGAAAAAATTGCTTAATTTGCATACTGATCTTGCTGGAAATCAGGTTCACTAGTTTTTAGTTTTGACTAATCTTCTGTATTGTACTGTAAGTACTGCTCCGAAAAATTTGAAAAGTTGGCAACATGGCAATGTCCCTGGGGCGAACACCACTAAAATATGTAGAACTCTCTAGCACTTCCGGTTATATCCGAAGTCGACACCAGTTTCGTTATTTTAAATGGGACACCCTATATATTATTGCATTTTCGGATACTACCTGAAATTTGAGGGTCAGTTTATTAAATATTCCCTATACCTAGGAGTTATAGAATTTCAGATATTAATATTAAAAAAAAAATTGACAGATGCAAGGGTCCGCGGAGATGCTAGTAACCAAGGACATTTAAATAAAGGGGACTATGCATGTCACAGTCTATCTCATATGTTGGGTGAAGCTAGACAAGGGGAAAGCAGAGGGCTTTATTTTCAGCCAACTGATGCGCGCGATTACATCTCCAATGTCGTACATTTTGGATGGGTCAAAATAAAATATTTTATAGTCCTAAGTCAATATATTTCAACAGCTACTCAGTATTTTTATAATAAATATATATAATATTTTTATAACTTCTTGGAATCCCAATAACTGTAACCATTTCTTTCTTGTTGCACCATCCCCAAGCATCCTAAAAACGTTCACATTTCACTTTTAGAATACTGAGGCAAATTTTCAGTGAGACATAAAAATATATTCCCAAAGGAGAACATCAAATGGTTGAATGAATGCAACTTTCAGTTGATTGCATCTTCGGTATTTTTATGTATAAGTGAACCACCACCATATTTTTGCTGTTGTATTTATTCAGTTTTTATGCTCGTGCATTTAGTAAAATTGTAAATATATTTTTGAAAAGGTTTTTGTCGTAGAGGAAAATGAAAATGATGAATGATTAAAATTTGTAATGTTGGGTATAAGGGATAACATTGAAATACCTATAAATATATTAAATATAAATAATGTCTGTAACTTATTTGTGGTGCAGCATTTTCCTTTGATTTTAATGGCCAAACGTGGTTCATATTATTGTTTTCTTACTATTTCAGCAAAAATTTTAAAAAAATACCAAGTCAGTTTTATAAAATTTTACCGTTATTCAAATAAAAGTTACCCACACGCACGACAATGGCCACAGTTGCATATACATTCCAAAGTCACCTTCAAGCACGCTTACCTGTGGAAGGATAGCTGATGTGGATGTTTATAATCCAATTTCTTACAAATTCTGCACTGTCTAACCATATTCACACCTTAAAAGTTTATCCAAAATACATGTATAAACACTAATCACGTTTCACTTACTAAAATCACAACTATTTTCTAACAAGAGACGCCATATTCTGCCAACCACGGCAGAACGAACGAGGAACACGCTACAAATTATTGCGTAGTTGCCAAGTCTTCAAACATGGCAAATATGAAAAATGAAAAATAGTTTAATATGTACAGAATTTAACAATATTGTATGCATAACTTAATAATACTATCCTATAATAATAATTTTCACAATTGTGATGAAAATTGCGATAAAAATATTAAGTACATTTCCAGTATAATTATACAGCTGACAACAATGATACAATTAGACTGTGAATAGACCAGGCCTCATCTAGAAATGTAAATAAATAAGTCCCCTTTATTTAAATGTCCTTGCTAGTAACTCTTTTGAGGAGCGTGATATCAAGTGGATTTTTGACACCTCTAAAGGGTGTAGGTAACACTAAATTATGGTGACCAACAAGTTAAAACATTTAATACAAGGTGTTTCATTGTTGCTGTTACATTTTGATAACTTCAAACAGCTATAACTTTATTAACTTAACTAGAACACCCTGTATACTTTTATTCTGTCCTATGTAGATTCAAATTTGCTTTCAAGCCATGTAATCATTGTTAGGGTTGTCGATAAAACTTGAACAAAATGTAGCCCGCTTGATGGAAACAAGAGTTTTGGGTTTGTTTTAGTTTTGTTTTTGTTTTTCAGGTTCTAGAAAACACAAACAGGACATAAACTCAACTGTCCGTTTAGTGGAAAACCGCCATAATAGTTTTTGCTGAAAATTTAATTAAAAATGCCTGGGGATCGTTTAAATTATACTTATGAGGATTATTTTAATTTGTTTGTTATTTATGGAAAAAAGCAGCGGATTCTCTACATGTTGCGACCATAAAAAAATTAACAAAAATTTTGGACCATTTTTTTAGATGGAAGGAAAAAAATAATGTTATGTGAATATTTGTATACAGAGTGATCTATAATTTTCATTTGATTGCAATTTAATGCTTTGCTGTAAAAATGCTTCTTTGAGCTCTTAAGAAAATATCTTAAATAAAACTTTAGTATTTACCACTTTTCCTACAAAGGTGAAGGTGGATACACCTGTACATAGAAAACTTTTTTCTGAATGTTTGACTCATTTTAGTTTGATTACATATTCGAACATTATGTGTAACTATTAAAAGGAAGTAAACGTTTAGACCTTGACTGTGCGATAGAATTACTTTTTTTAATCTCTCCCGCCCGGCAGCAGATTCGACTTTGATTACACGTTTCTAGCAGCTTAAAATAACTATGATCTTTAAGATGAGAAATGTCTGTCATGTCTCAAATTTCTCCTGCGACAAATGCGTTACGTCAAACTGTACCTTTTCTACCGGCGCTTATTTAATTTTGTGAATCGTTGTGCCGATAAAATATACTTTCTTTTTAATTCAATTTGACCGACGTATATATGAGTCCAGTACAAATTGCATCTGTAAATAATTGTAAACAGTGAGAGAGAGAGTTATCGAAATTACACTTTCGACAGTAATGTGGTGTGGAATTTAAATCGTCTCTCCTAGTTGGTATTTTGTTTTGCACTCGCTCGGTGCGAATGAAAAGTGTATTTTAAAATAAGAGAAACTATAATAATGGCACCGACACGTTAAATCACTTAAAATATTATTTCTGATACAAAAACTGTTTGAAGGAAAATTATGTGTCTGAAACATGTTTTAATTTTTTTAAGCCACTCCATGTTGTTGCCTCAGTTTTGGTTTGTTCTTGACACTAAATTAATAACACTTACTAATAAATCTGTAGTTTTCATTTACTGGCAGTTACAGGCCATCTAAGTGACCTAAAATGAAAAAAATTATAGTTTTATTAATGAAAGGAAAGCAAAACCGTTATTTAGTAAAATGTTTTCGCCTTATTCTCTGTTAGAAAATTTGAATTGGCATTTGTTGCTCAATTAGCCATAATTCTAACCTCGTGTGGCTTAGTAACTGCTTGGCGAGAGATAATGCAATGACAAGAAAATTATACAATGCTAAATGTCAGAGAAACTTTGAACGGTGAGCTTGTAGGTATCTAACAATTTAAAAATTAATATCCTATTCCCGAAGCAGTTTTTACGGTTTCCTTACACATTGCGATTACCTTTAGCGTAAAATTGCACAATGACCACAAATGTTATAGAATATACAGAGTGTTCAAATTATTACTGCAACGATCTTACAACTGTGTTTAGTTTTGCGAGATTTAATTCAAATTCAATTTAATTTATGAACAAAAACCAACCCCCTCAAATACAAGACCACTTAATTCCTCAAAAATAGATTGATAGCTTGTATTAGGCATTTTTATAGAAAAATATTAACAGAAGTTGTCTGAAATCATCCAAAATATTTATATTTATTTGTTTGAATTGCAAAAATTAAATTTAATATTAAAACTCGTTGAAGCTTATGTTAAATACCAAAGAACGTTTTCACTGATTTGGAAATAATTTTGATGGAAATTTGACTTTTTAAAATCAACCACCTTTTGAATAAAGCATTTTGAATGTTTCTGAACAGCTTTTGTCAATAGGTACAATTTTCTACACAAATGATAATATTTCATCAATTTTTGGTGTGTTAGATGAATTTGTATTTGAGAAGGTTAGGCGAATTTTTGAACATAGTTCATTAAAAAATTTATCATACAAAAACTTCAAAAGTCCTAATTGGGACAATATGTTCTCAAAACATGCGAGCTTAATAGAACATTGGAGAATGGTAACAAACAGAATAAAAGTCGATGGGTATTTCGTGAACTTAGTTTTGTTTAAAACTGTTGTTTTTCCAAAATGGAAATTAGATGATGCTATTTTGTGTGCTTTAACTGGTTTGTGGTTCATACTGTAACCTGCAAAAGAGTAAGCAACGCCGTCGGGATACTGGGATACTGGGTGAGATTATACAGGGTCGGAAAGTCCACATGGTTCATCGGCAGTTACGTGAGAGGGATAAAGAAAGTCATAGAAAGCCGTGCGATATAGAAAGATGGCTATAATGAAGGCGTCTAATAGTCACCGCCCATTTCGCCTTTCCACAAATAAGAAGTGAATCTTATCCACTTAAGCCATCTTTCTCTATCGCACGGATTTCTATGACTTACTTTATCGCTCTCACTTAACGGCCGTTGAACCATGGGGACTTTCCGACCCTGTATGTATTTAATTTAACAAGACGAAAAGTTAAAAAGTTGCTCACAAAGTAGGTATTTATTTTTTACAATACATTACGAGAAACAGATTCACTTTCAAACAGTTGTAGGTATAAAACTAAAGCAAAATAAAACAATGACCAACATCGATTTACATTTTAATAAAATAATAAATCGAATATTTCCATTAAACCGACAATGTGCATTGGCTCGTCTAACTATTTGATGTTACCGTTTTCGAAAACAAAACATAACCAGTAGCCCGCATTTGTGTTTGCGAAACGATTAAGAATGAGGTTTGCTTCAGGAAAACGTGTAGTAATTCCGCTAAAGACTTATTATTATTTATTATTTCTTATTTCTCACTACAGGGATCTCAGAAACAGTAAGAGATACGAACTAGCTTAAATGAGGACAAAATTGCGCAATCAGGAGACTAACATTATGCCTAAAAATAGAGGCTAACTTGATTAGTTTTCGAAATATTTGTAAAAAACTGAAATTTTAAAAATTCGTCTTTGTTTCATTTCAGCTTTGTTTGAGGTGATATTGAAAAAAGAACACTTTCTCGTGGCAATATTTTGCCCTCCATCGAATGGCATAATCAATTTTTATATGTAACGTTTGGTCTTGCTATCATCGACTTAATTTTTTTAAATATTACATTTTTTGCAAGCCTTAGTGACCCCCAATACTGCCTCAGCCCGAACCAGATTCAGACGTATTGTCTCGAAAAATTCATCTTCAATGTATTCGTGCTAATTTTTCTAAATTTTTTATTTAGATTTTGTAAGTTTATTGAATTATTAAGTGTCGTTAGATCACGCATTACAATAAAATATTATTTAAGTTTTCATCCCATGCTCATAGTAATTTCTAGTAATTTCATTCAATAAAAAATATAGAAATCTAAATAAAAAATTTAAATAAATTGGAAGGAATACTTAAATTGAAAATGAATTTTTTCAGACAAAACGACTGATGGAGATTTGCAAAAAATGTAATAAAATTGTATTTAAAAAAATGAAGTTGATGATGGTCCTAGAAAAACGAAACGTTATATATAAAAATTGATTATGCCATTCGAAAGAAGGCAAAAAGTTGTCATGAGAAAGTGTTCTTCTTTTTTCAATATCACCTCAAACAATGCTAAAATGGAACAAAAAAGGATTTCCAAAATTTCGTTTTCTTTTTCAAATACATACTTCGAAAACTAATCATGTCGGCCTTAATTTTTTAGAAGTATAATGTTGGTTCCCTGATTGCGCAACTTTGTCTCCATTTGATATCTCTTACCGTTTCTGACATCTCTGCAGTGAGAAGCGAATTTGTAACAGTCTGTACCTATGTTACATTTTTATTTGATCTTAAAAATTTTAATTTAAACCTATGGATGTTGTTGTTACAGAAAATCTTTTTTTGAAGTAGGTAACTCTTTATTTTTCTACTGGTAAATAAAAAGAGTAGGACAGTATTAGGGTTTAGTTGATTTTCCTATTAATAGACGACGCAATTGTTAATACGTCACAGCGGTCCACCAAATTCTTTTTAGTTTCGTATTTTTTTATTTTAAGTTAAATAATGATTTCATATATAAATAAAGCAATAGAGGAGAAATTTTTTGTCCCATTATTTCATTTCCTGTTAACATCTAAAAAGTTGGCAAACACTGCTTTTCTTAAAAATTTACAGTTTAGTTAAAATCGATATGGTTTTATCTATCTCTTGGACGTCCATCTTCAGAGATATACTCCTAAAGTCTATCACCTGCTTTGCGGACAAAAATCGGGAGCTCTTGAAGTTGAATTCTCATCAATCATGAAATTTTTACATTTTTGCTGTCCTCTGGGGAATGTCTGTGAGTTGCTAAACTACATGTTTGTTCAATTTTTAGGAAGAAGAGGTAGTAGAAGAAGCCGACTATGAGGAGGAACAACCACAAGAAACGAGTTCAACCACAGAAGCCCCCAAAAAATTCATTAAAAGTGGAATCGTAAGGCCTTTCAGAAGTAATGATGATCTTTTGGCCACTTTGAAAAGGAGAAGGGAACAAGTAGTGAGCAGTGAGTATTTTTTTTTTTTTTCATAATATGCAGAGTGAAAAATTTAGTATTAAACTTCACACTTAAGAAAGACTCAAAGTTTTATTATTATTTTTCTATTTTTAAAACCAAACTTTTTTTAATGGAACACCTTGTATATTTATCATTATTTGGAACCTCTACATGTTATACAATTGCTTTAATAGTTGGCACAATATTTTTATTTATATACTGATCCTACTCATATTACTCACCTCATTGATAATACTAAGCTTTGATTATTATTTTCTCTTTTAAATTATATAAATTATTAGATCTTTGTGTATTAACTTTATCTTTCAGGATCCTCCATAGAAACAAATACATGCAGGTCAAAATACATAAGAAAAATTTTCCTTGTCTAGTTTTATTATAAAACACCTTTTATAGTATACTATTTTCTTACAAACAAAATATTTATAGTTCTGTTAAGTAAATTGAATAACGTGTATGTATCTTGTGCTTTTAGACAAGTCCAAGCCAGTCCAAAACGCCGAAGCTGAAGAATCATCTAACGTCGAGAGGGAAGTATCGAAACCTCGCGCAACGTCTTCACCATCGGCAGGAGGCAGAAGAAACAGATTCAACGCCAAGGAGAAGACTGGCGAAGCCGAAGCCACAGAAGAAGGCGCCAGTGCCGCACCTAGAACGGGTAGAAGGTTCCACGGTAGAAGTTAACCAATTAGATAGGAGTGCATAGATTTACCACTGTAAAAATAATAAATTGCATAGGAATCACCTGTAAAATAGCCCTGATTGCTGGATCTCTGGGACCTGGCATATCACAGCGTGGTTTTGTATTCAATGCACGGGTGTATTGAGGGTTGCTAGTCTATAGGATGCAATTATGCCGACTATATCGTCTGTGGTACTTAGATCTGTATAATGCGGGTGGTAACACAAAGCTCACCCATGCATTGAACTAACAATTCATTTAATTTAAACATATTTTTTTACGCTTACGCTTAAAATTTAATCAAAACTTTGCATTGACAGTTTTATTTACTTTTGAATGTATACAAAAACACCCATATTGTAATTAGTACCGTATACATAAATTGTGGTTTGCACTTATTTTTTGTTTTTCTATGAACTATTTCAGGCATATAACTCTATAGTTCATTATACTAAACCTAATTGCACTTGGTTCTTTCAATGCCACGTCCATGTTTGCGCAAACAGTGGACAATAATTTGTTTAGAAATGGACTGTAGTAACAATAAATTATTTATTTTTGAAATACTTGAACTAGGCACGAAAATAAAGTAAAATTATGTTGTTAGTCATATCCCAGAATAGGTTTAGCCAAATTAGTCTAAGGATGTAATATTTTTTATCAAAACTATACAATGTATCTCTTCATTATGCAATTCATAGGTTTTAGACAATGTATAAGAGTATTCAATCGTTTTTGTTTTTATTACTTGATACTAAATTTATTGTTATTTGTACATTTTATAGATCTGTAAATAAAGTGGACTAGTTAGTGTTAGTGTAAACAAAACATTTTTATAGAAATATATATTTTTAAATTAAAGTGTTAATTCTTGAACTATACATTATTTTTATTAATCTCCATTACAAATAACGGTGTAGATAAATTTATATTTTAATTTAAAAATAGATAAAACTGAAACAAGTTTAAAAATAATACAGATTAAATAATATTTAATATAAAAAATGCAGAATTATATAGCATTAAAGTTTTCTGTAACAAATATTCAAAAGATCAAAATTTTCCTATTTGCTGAATTTGCTTTTAACTTTTTATTTCGCTTCAGCCTAAAAATTATTATTTTAAAGATATTCTCCATTTCTTACTTACCTACATCACAGTTGAAAGAAATTGATTCAGCAAATCCCTTTCTTAAATTACTATTGTGGCTATTTCATTTGTATAAAAACATTTAAAAAAATCATTTTTGCGCATTAAAGTGCTATTGACTTTAGACTAGTTGAATTATTTTTTTGTTTTGATTTGTACCTAAAAAATGTTTGCAATGAATTTTAAGTTTTCACAAAATATGATTTTTATATCTCTTCCTAATCAAGCAAAAAATAATGATGAAGAAGACTCTCTTGTCTAACATCATGAGAATCGAGAATCTCAATATCTATCACTTCCCATGGTTAATTAAAATTCTAGCCTGCAGTGGTCGCTAGTAGTACCTATTTATATTCCACATTATTTTGTCTACAGTCAAAGTTTAAAGTGGTAGTGGCAACAATGATATTCCAGAGAACAAGAATATGTATCACTGCTTCAGGAAGGAAACAGTAGAAAAAAATAGTATTAAAGTATTTGGTAAAAAACGAGTTTGATTTTAAATTAAAAAAGAAAATAATAATTGAAATATGAATATTTATAAACACGTAATTCTATAGCTTGTCGACTACCGTTGATTGTGTAATTAAACTAAATGTTAATTGATTCACAATTAATGTCAATATTTTTCGTAACGATTTTTTGTATCGGAATGCAACCAATTTGTCTTATTTTGACTTTTGACTTTTCGCTCTCTATGTCTATGTAACCAAACTAATTTATTTTGCATAACAATCAAAATAAGAGTCCTGAAAAGTAACGTAACTATATAATGTCTTGTCAAAAATATCAAGTCAAGGATTCCAACATTTTTGCAACCGCTAGAAATTTTATTGGTGTCCTCAAATATAGGCTGGTTCTTTTTCACAGATCGCTAGATATATGGAATTTTATGACACCAATTTTTGTTTCTTTTTTAATAAGTTTGTAATTACAAATAATAGAAATTTAATAATTTCAGCTATTACATAAACTGGTGCTATTAGAATTTTTCTAAACTTTCTACATTTCAGTTGGTGACAGTCAACTTTTGTTGACAGTCTTGCGGTCGTCATTTTCTGTTAATACGAGGTCTGTTCAGAAAATAACCGAACTTTTTGAATTACGCGCTAACGCAGATATTTAGTGATATGCGGTCGGCAGCATTGCGTTGCGCATAACCTCCTCAGTAACCACATGTTCTTGGATTGTTGATATCTGATTTAGTTTTCGTGATATTGTTATTTGAGTCCAATGTGTTTAAGTATTAGTGATAATTGTTGAAATTTGCGATTTTCTGGAACGATGTAATGTAAAATTTTCCCTGAAGTAGGGGAAACGTTTAAACTTTTAAACCAAGCCTACGGGGATGATGCTCTGAGTCGCACGCAATGTTACGAATGGTTTTCACTATTTAAAAGTGGTCGTCAGTCAATTGAAGGCGATCCTCGACCAGAAAGGCTTTCGACTTCAACTGATGACTCGCAAGTACAAAAAAGTTAAAGATCTGGTGCGTGTAAATCACCGATTAACTATCAGAGAAATTGCAAAACCACTTTTCTCTCACATTTTATCAGGCCTAAGACTGACAGTGTTAATATTTACTGACATGTTTAAAAAGTGGTTTGACAAAACAAAAGTAAACCACTAACAACAACTAAAACAAAACGCAAAACGAAACAAACTGAAACTCGGAGCACAACAATGAGAATAATACTTAGACCGCTGATTTACATCAATTGCTCGAAGTGTCCTCTATTTTGATTAATACACAAACGAATTTGGGTTTTAAAAGATTGTTCAACATTGGTCAACATGTCTGGCGTAATTTCTTGAAATGCTACTGTAATGCGCTGCAACATATATACCGCGGTAGTATCCCCATAAAAAGAAGTCACAACTGGTCATATCTGGACACCTTGAAGGCCAACTCACTGGACCTCCGCGTCCAATCCATCTGTTGGGAAATGGGAAGAACCGCAGCGGTATTGTGAGGTGGAGCACCATCATGTCCACATTCTTCGAAATGTAGCTAAAGGAATGTCGCCTAAGAAATCTTCTAGAGTGTTTGTTAAAAAGTTTAAACAAACTGCTCCAGTTAGATGCTGGTCAAAAAAGAATGGTCCAATGACATGGGATCCTAAAATTGCTCCCCACACGTTCAACGTTGGCTATGAGTTGTCTGGAATTGGATTTACCGTGTCATAATAATGGCAATTACGACTATTAACGAAATCATTTTTTAAAAGTAGCCTCATCGGTGAATATGACCCGTTTAAAAAAATCATCATCTTGATTTAACATCTTAAGAGCCCACTGACAAAACTCCAGTCTCCGCTGAAAGTCTACTTTTAGTAACTCTTGGTGTAACTGGATACGATAAAGATTTGTGCTGTGCTTTTCTAAAATCCTATGTTATCGACGTTGTACTAATACAATTGCAAGGCCTCTGACGCTGTTACATAGTTACTTTAGAAACATAACATAAAACATAAACACACCACAGAAATGAGACAACCCCCAAATCCAAAGCCAAAGGCTTGTGCGGAAGGGGGCTACACTTGAAAAAACGAGGACAAACACCCATTATCCATCGACATTGCCAGTGCCGACACCGGGGATCGAACCTGGACCAGTGTAGGAAGCCTAGCCGAGAAATGCTCGCCACCGCACTCTCGACCGACTGCGCTACCGTGGCGATTAAACTTTAAACACTTTAGAAACACTTTACAAAAGACAAAACACATTAAACACTTTAGAAAAGAACCTGATTTTTCTGGAAAACTGTTAGAGATAAGTATGGACAACCATATATCAGTTGAAAGGGAATTCATTTTGCAGTCATCCATGACAACTAATATGGGTCATTCCATTCGAAAAAAAAAGTTTTTTAACTCGTAAGCTTATTAAATGTAGGTCTAAGCATTTCCGAGTCTGAATAACGTACACGTTATTCGTGATTTTTTTTCAAAAACAACTGATTATCTCGAAAACGGTAAGTTTTAAACATCATGTATTTTTAATAAACTCCACCCAATATTAACCAAGGAATTCAAAAACGCAATAATATACAGGGTGTTCCGTTTAAAATAGCAAAGTTATGTAGCGTCCACCCGAAATGGAACATCCTGTAAAGCTAAAAATATTTTTTTCCATGATTCCAGACAACTTTTATTAAAACCATTTTTTAAATACATTTTACAGTTACAGAGTTACAGAGGATCCCTCTTAGGTGGAACACCCTGTATATTTGTAGAATTTTTCATTTTCTTCGCAAATGTAATTTGTTAGGTACGTTCGAGATTTTTCATTTAAATTTGAACAAAAATATAATATAATAACTGGTTACCAAAGTGTACAATATCAATATACCTAGAATGAATTAGTTCTAAAAGATCCCAGATATTTCGTTCATTCTTGAAGACTTTGCAGAGCAAAATGTTACAAAACTGGAGTGTCCGGTGTATGGATGAATTTTTCGCAATGAATAGAATTTATGGAGTCTCCAAGCTGCGTATAGATTCAGTTTCATACTAGCTTATATACAGTTCTAAACAAATATGCAAAAAAGTGTTGTTAACAGAACATACAGACATGCAAATATAGTATGTAAGCAGAATTGTATTTGTTTGGTTTTATTTCTTAATTTCAGAACTACTTCTCCATTACAGTCAATATTTGCCTCATTTTTCTATTGACTGTCGACGATTTCACTAACTGGCCGACCTTTCACATTTATTATTATTAATTATTACATAATGAAGCGTTTACCTTGCATATCATGTGTAGAAATTAAGAATGAAGGAAGAATTACCTGAATTTTATCGAACACGTTAATTATTATTAAAGATTCTCTAAACGATTAACGAGAGTTTTAATTACAATAACATCCATAATGTAGTAAAAGCGAATATTCTTTTACGTATCAAGTATTAAAAGACATCCTTGTCTGAAGGTATATCTACATATTTTAATTTAACCACGATGAAGGACTAAACATTATCATCAACCCGTGACTAATAGGTTTTGCCATTTGGATTTTCTGGGTAAGGCGAAGAAAATTAATTTTAAATATATGTACCCGGTACAGATGTAGACAAGGCCATGAGAGCAGTTGCATCTTGGCACGACCACAAAGTTTTGAAATTGTTGTATAATATGTGAACGCATTCATTGAATAGGTCAAAGTTATACGCTGCTGACAGCATTACGTTAGTTACGAGTATGTGTTATTAACTTTGTATAGAGCAGAAGCTTCAATGAACTTCCAAACAATACTGAGTTTGGCATGAGTTCCAAAAAGTCAGTAACCATTGCAATATGAGTAGAGTTCTCTTTTTATAACAGGAGGTTTATGAAAATAGGTAATTTGAATGACCTTAAACAATGTAATTTTTTCTATTAAAGAATCATAAAAAGGGGATATAATATTTGATAGTTGCACAATGAGAGTTCTATTGTTATTTATGTAGTGTAAATATTGGCTTTATAAGCTACGTTATGGTAGAAATTTATTTATCTGTGATCTCAGTTAATCTAAGTACTCCAGTCGAATTAGATAATAAAACTTGAAAACTTAAAGTTATTAGTAGACATTTTATTGAACTTTATAACGGGGAATGGTATGCAGAATGATAATATCAAAAAAGTAACTCAAAAGAACTGACACTAAGTTGGCAAATTGCAAATAAGTGACAAGTTTACGTTTTTTTCTCCCTTTTTACTGCTCACAAAAACCTATCGCAAAATTA